CCACCACTTTGGCAGGCAAGAGGAAAGAAATCACATGGAGAAGACAGGGAATGGGAGGGGAAGTCCTCAGTTTAAAGGAGGGGAACATACCAGAATCCAGCCAGGTAAGTCTGGGAGGAGATTAACAGCATCCAAAGATGAAGGACTGAAAAGGGGCCCCTCTTCACACATAATCTGGGTCTGCACCTCACTCAAAACTCATAAAGACAAAGCAGAACACAGCAAAACTGTCTCTCAAAGCCCCAACACCAAAATTCAGGCCAATTTCTATACTTCTTACTGAGAACTTGCATCTTTCGAGGGACTGGGATGGGGAACTGTTGTTTTACGCTTTGCTTTAACAATCAATACTTTTTCCTTCTTAAACACTTCACAAAATGAATGGGATAAGTGATATTGCAGCCTGGAGCCACTCAGGCTGCTCCTGACTGCCATGCACTGAAAGCACCATACACAGACAAGAGCTGGGGACAGACAAACCCTCCTGCACTGCAGGTACTGAGCAGGCTTGGGATCAAATCCCTGATGGAGAGATCCAAGCTGGGCTGTCTCACCTCACATGGAGCAGGGAGCATCCCTATCCCTGCTGCTCCCAGCTCATCCACAAGACTCCTTTTAGCTGTGCCATCTGAAACTATCTCAGTTAACCCCAGCCAAGGGCATCTGGCCAGGCTTTACCAGTTTTGTTTCCTTTGCAATCCATCTTAGGAAAAAAAAATTAGAGACTCCTTCACAAGCACATTCCCCCCATGTCCCCCTTCCCTGAAATATCATTAAATAAAAGGAAAAAAGGCAAACCAAAAGGAGATGACCCCGGAAAGATCTTCTTAGCAGGCTCTGCTGCCAACAGGCACAGGAGGACTGAGCTGCTCTTTGCAATGTTTCCAATCACGAGGCACAACAGGAACATCCCAGTCCAGGGGCAAAGCCCAGGTGCTGCTGGAGCAGCCCCTCAGCTTGGCCAGAGCCCTGCAGAGGCATTCCCAGAGCCACAATTGCTGCCAGGAACTGCTGGCAGCTGATGCCTGTGCAGGCGGAAGTGATCGTGCCTCAAATACTTCCTTTACCACTGATAACACAATTCCTGCCACGGCCCTGCCAAGGCTCTGCTGATAAGGAGAGGATCTGAAAGTCACTGCTGCTCCCACGGGGATTTATTTTTAGACATCAGATACAGCAAGGCAAACACAGAGACTGTGCTGAAGGGATAATTCTGTGTCAAATGCAAGATGCTGAAGTGATATAAATGTGCATTACAGCACTTGCCTTCTGCAAATGGCTTTTGAGGGAGAAAAGAATATTATCTGGGAAGCATGGAACTAATCAGCTCTCCATATTCCATTACCAAAAGCTACTCAGCTGGAGATAATGTCTTAATCCTTTCAAGTGAAGAACAGAGTATTTATTTCTGGCAGGAAGTAGGTATTTAAGGAATTCCCAATCACTGTTTCTCGTGTTTATATTAGTGGCATCTAGCAGTAAGTAAACTAAAACCATATTTCATATTCCATCCTGGGTTGGGAGACACCACAGGGATCATCCAGTCCAACTCCTGGCCCTGCACAGACACCCCAACAATCCCACCCTGAGCATCCCTGGGAGTGGTGTCCAAATGCTCCTGGGGACCTAGCAGACTGTTTTTAGCATATAGTTATTGAATTACATTAATATCTTCTTAAATTATAAAGGAACTTTAACTGTGTCTCAGTCTAGAGTCAGTCCTTAATGCAAGCAAAAGGATATGGGACTCCATATTCATTTTTCTATATCACATTTTTAAACTTGGTGAATTTGAAGTTGTCTCAATAGATCCCACAGAGTTTTGATGAGTTCTTTTATTCATAAATCAGATAGAAAACCAACAGATATTAAAAAAAGCTGGCACTTGCTAGATGCAAAGTGCTGATGTTGAACAGTGTGCATTTTTATAATTTCACAGGTGAAATTATAGATTCTTCTGCACAAATGAAATTTAACCCCTTGGAAATGACTTTCTATTTGTACAGAGATTTTTATGTAAACTTACCACCAATGTGTTCAATGAGTGAGAACCAGGTCAAAAACAGTTAAAGGGGAGACTTTGTATCTTATGTATCTTATGTAAACTGAGAAGAAGCTAAATTAGGAAAAAGGTAAATTGAGAAGAAACATTGCATTTCCTTGGGAGACAGACCATGAAGACGTTGAACCACAGCTGAATATTTATCCCATGTCAGACTAAAACACATCTATGAAGCAGAACCTGGCTTTTCATTAGAAATTAAAAATTAATGACACAGTCCTTACACTAAACACAGTAATGAACAGAAGGTACTTCAGCAAAATGCCAGTGAATTTTGGGGACTGATGCAATCTGTGAGGCTTTACCTGTCATCAGTACAGCTTTGACATCACTGCCCTTGCCTGGCAACCAGCAATTTCCTGGGATGCCACACATGCCTGGCTGGCCAGCCACAGGTATGGGTAAGACAGTGCTGCTGGAAGCAGTGTGGAAGGAGATTTCTGAAGAGAAAAAGGCCCCCAAGATGCACCCAGCCTCACTAGCACAGTGCAAGGATAAGAGGAGAACAAATCCCTTTTCATACCTCTCAGCAATTTAATTTAAAACGATCTCATGAGGTGAAATGCCAGGCTATTAATACCTCCTGCACCATGAGACCATATTATAAGTGACATAAACGTTACAAAACAACCTGAAATTTGGCCAGGCTGTTAATAGACAGCATTACACAATTCCTGACACGGACAGATAATACTGCATTTCTACTATGCAAATTTCTAACAGTGAATAGATTTTGAAAGCAGTTTACACCCACCACCCCTCAGATGCAACTCAGTAATTCTCTATTAGGTGCCAAGCTGTCACTTCCCATCACTCCAGCCCACTGCTATTCTCTGCTCTACCTTGGGAACACAAAGGAGCCTCCAACTTGATTAAAATGCATGAGCCCTGTGTGAACCTATTTTTAAATCTCCCAACTAATACTGCTGTTGTATTAACAGCTTTCATTTATTTTACCACTAATACTGGTATTCTAAGAAAGTGCTGCAATGCTTTGTATTTTCACATTTCAGCAGCAAAGCTCTTGTTCTCAGAGATTTTTCACCATATAAAAAAGTCCTGACACTGTGGGGATTTATCAGAAACCTTGCTTAGAAAGAGGAAGCAATTAGAGGCACAGAGGGCCTGAGTCATCTTATTTAGGCACTGATTTTGCTTTAAGTACACAAATAGCTAAACACACAGGGTTTTTCAGAGGCAGGTATGGTGGAAACAGAGAAGTGACCCCTCAACACACACAGAGTCTCAATTTTATGACAGTTCTTCTCATGCTGCCACCAGTCCCGGTTTTCTTCCTGGTTTCACAGCACAGACACAGAAAACAGCTCAGGGCTGAGATAACCAGCAACAGCTCAATAACCAACACATTCTTATTTCCTGTGCTACATCCTCCCGCAATTTCTGTTTTTCAGGCAGACCTCCTCTGGTTACAGCCTCTGGTCTGGTTGTGCCAGGGGACACTGAGCAACAGCAGGGGAAGCTGCAGGAGTAGCAGTGACAAAATGCAGTTCTAAACCACTCCTGCTTGTGGGAACTTCCCAGCAGAACGTGCTTCAGGAAAACCTGGAAAGGATGTATTACCTGATTTTACTTCTGCCTCTCACAAAGATGAACCCTGCAGGTCTGCTCTGCCATCCTGAAAACATCCCAGGAAATGCTTAAACCCACAAAATAATTGATCATTGGTCATAAAAAGTGTATGTGCCACGCACAGCTTGTGCTCCCTCTCCAGCTGCTCATTGTGCTGAACATCCCTGGATGATGGGAGGGAGAACTCAGAGGACCACAGGATGTAAAAACCACACCTGTGTGGACAGAGACCTGCTCCAACATAAAACTTGTCTCCAGAATGACTGGAAAATTAGTTGTGTCAAATCAGCAAATTACCAGGAGACAGAAAGTAGGGACATTGGTCAGCCATACTGTTCCTACACTCAGAAAATGAAAATAAAAGTTCTCAGCAGAGTGAGGGCTGCTCCTGCTTGCCCATTTCCCAGGGACCTCCATGGGAACTGAGCTCTCTGCACTCCATTTAGTGCCCAGTGCTTTGTGTCTCTGGCTGTGTCAGTGTGTGCCCACACAGCTGAACCAACCCTCCCACACCACCAGGTGTGAGCAACAGCACATCGCAGACCTGAATAGGACCCAAGCTCCTTCCCAGCTGGGATTTTACACACACAGAGGAAAAAACACAGCTGCATAATTCTAATTGCAAAAGTGTCAAGAAGCACCAAAGGCTGTAAATAATTCACTCAGTATTACAGGAAATGTTTTACAAATGAAAAGGTTGTAACCTCCTTTTGGCTGCAAGGCTGGCAGATGCCAGAGGCATTCCTGCTCCTCTAAGTGCAGAACAAAATGTGTCCTGTTTGTGAGAAACTCCTGGGTCTCAGCCCTCCCTGGAAAACACTTCTGCCTCTGTTCCTGAGGGAGGGATCACAGAGGAGCAAAGCCTGCACATTTCCAGAAATGCAGCTCGGGCTGACAAGCAGTTTCTGGTATTTTGATGACACAACTGCTGCAATGCACAATGCAGAGCTAAGAGAAGGGGTAAATTTGATTTATTTATATTTACATAAATACATTCACACAATTGTTTAATCACACACACACAAACCAAAAATACACACGCAGTGATTACTGATGACTCAAGACTGAATGTTTGATACAATCTTAAAACACTGACATCAGCCAAATCCAGTGGAAATAAAACCATCTCCAAGCTCAAAGGAAAGCTCCACATGACTGAGTGCAGATTCTACCCCAGCACACAGAAGCAACTGCAAATGAAGTTTCTACAGCTTTGACTTCTTATCACTTAACATTTAGCAACAAACCAAATAAATAAGCCTCTGTGGAGGTCCCTCCATGCCTCCCCAGCAGGTCAGCTAGCAGGAAGCACAAGGGGTTTCGTGTATAAAAGAAATCCAGGACTCACCTGTATGTTGCCAAAGTCCACGTTTTCATAGTGGAAATGTGCACACTCAGCCATCTTCGGGAAGTGCCCCTTTGTAAAGGATAACCTGGAGCACAGCAAGAGCACACCATGAGATGGATGCAGATCATTCAACAGAGATAAACAGGTACTGATACAAAACAACAACTTTCTCATCCTAAAGCCAAGGGAACACAGGGATTGCATTAAAACAGTGGGGAAGGGAACCGAGTGAGAAAGGAAAGCTGAAATGCCAAGTGGCTTTTCCACTGCATCCCTCCAGAGCTGTGTGACATTCCAGCAGCACCACATCCCATTGCATCCCTACAGAACTGAGTGACATTCCAGCAGCACCACATCCCATTGCATCCCTACAGAACTGAGNATTCCAGCAGCACCACATCCCATTGCATCCCTACAGAACTGAGTGACATTCCAGCAGCACCACATCCCACAGGCTTCCTGGACACGGAGCAGGGACAAGCAGCTGCAGCTCACAAATGCACATCCACAGCCTTACACGAGACACAAGGAAAGCACAACTTTACCTGTGAAAGGCATCACAGCCCATCAGTCCCGGGGGGATGTATCTGAGGGTGCAGAACAAACTCTATTTATCCTTTGCCTTTTGCAAATTCAAAAGTCAGGCATAATTATTCCCAAGTGTCTGCAGTCACACTGGTGGCTGCTGGGGAGCTCCTGTGGCTCTGCAACATGCTCCTGCTTCTGCCGAGGCTGTTATAGACTCCTAGAGATATTCCTGGTGCTGAGCCAATGAGATTGGCATTATCTAGCTCCCTCTTCCCACGGGAATACAAGTGGGAAGTGAGATGCAGCATCTGGCTGCTCAGCACTGGAACAAAGAGCCATTTCCCTCTCAGCAGAGCACTAGAGGGGTGAGCTGAAGGCTCAGATCCATCAATCTCGGGGAGTTCTGCTCCTCAAGTCAGCACTTTTAGCAAAGTAATATTGATTATTTCTGATCCCCGTTGCTGCAAGCATAATGACTTGGTTTACAGTCTCTGGGAGACAAGCAGAGACAGAAATACAGCATGAGCCCACAGGGGAAAAAAAAAACAAAAAAAAACCAAAAAAACCCAAAAAAACAGGAGATCAGGGAAGAAAAAATACCCCTTAGAAGGGAAAACTGTGTAAAATCCATTCAAATGAAGGTACAGGTGGCAGAATGCAAAAAGAAAAGAGAAAAAAATCAGGTAAAAAAATACATATAGGCCACCCACTTGTCCTGGTTTAGCTTCCCAGAGCATAAAGAGACAGGGAAAATTATCTAATTTATACATTGCCTGGGCTTCTTTTGAGATTTTTCTCTATATGTTCTGTTGTGGTGGGTTTTTTTTTTTAATTAATCACTTTCAGGAAGAATCGCTAAAGAAAATTTTAAAAACTCCAACAGTGAAGTTCAAAACTCTACCTAGCTTTGTTCCTATGGCCAGAAAGAGTAGAGTGAGCCAGCAAAGCCTCTCATGGCCAGTTTTAGGTTCCAATAGCTCCAACTGCCTTAGTTCCACAGGATTTTGGTTGCTCTGCTGAAGATACCCATCACTAATTGGTGCTGAATGCCCTGCACTGCAGCACAACAGCAAACTCAGCACAGCAAACTCAGGAAGGCCAGGAGAGAGGGGGAATCCCAGAGCTCTTACTTTCTCACGTTCTTCACCTTCATGCTGGCGGTGCTGCCGCAGGAGCGCAGGGGCAGCTCCCCCGGCATGTCCGGAATGTCGGCACCTCTGGCCTGCAGGGGACACACGAAAAGCAAGAAGTTAAAACACGGCTGCAAGCTCGGGGCTCTGCTCCTGAGCAGGAACTCCTCTGTTCTGCACGGTGGCACAAACCTCCAATATGCTGAAGTTGAATTCTGCGTTTTAACCAGGGAAAACTGACCCTTGGGATGGGGATCAGAGAGGTGACAATCTCTTCCTGCCCCCAGCCTTGCTAACCCTTGGTATACCTGTGAAATCCAGTATTTAATTCGTTGCTACTTCTCGTTTCTAAAGTTGTGATTTTCAGAGGTGGGAGTGAAATAGATATTCCCAAACTCCATACTTGGACTTCTCATAAAGTACCTGATTTTCCAGACATCTGTGTATTTAGACTCAGGCAGAGGCACTGCAAAAAGCTGGATTGCTCACACAGTGGAAAACAAGTTAATGACAGAGCTGCTTATATGTGGGAGGTGAACTTTTAAAATAGATGTTTGAAGCTATTGGTTTAAGTGCTTGAGGATATTAAAATTCCTTAATCACTAAAATTCATTTACTTCAGTGAGGCCAGAACTCCGAACTCCCTCCTTTCTGTTCTGTCATACTTTCCCATCCCCTCCTTCCTCCAGCTGCCTTTGCCTAAGCCACGAGCTCTGCTGGGGTTGAATTGTCCATCACAAGGGGCACAAACACTCAGTTCCATGGGTTTCTCCCACTGTGATCCAGAGGAATGAGGGGGTTCAGTGAGGCTTTCATGGAGAGAGCAGTGATCAAACAGCAAGACCAGCACAGACTTCACAGAGAAGGAGAAAAACAACTGATGCTGCCCAGAGATTGCCCATCAGTGACACCAGCTGAATGAGCTTTCTCTGCTTTATACAATGCACTAAAAACATGAACAATGTTCCAAAGAGGGAATGCTGAACCAAGAGGAAGAAAGGCACTTCAGTGTTACTTCTCTTACAGGCCTGGAACCAGAAAGTATTCCATCAATTACTGACAGAAGTGAACAATGCTTGCCCTGATGTTACATCAGTCCCAATGGTCCTAAGCTGGTCCAGCAGAAGATCTCTGAACAGAGCTGCATCTGCCCCAAAGCTGTGACTGATAACAGAGCACAGCTGCATTCTGCAGTGTGGAATAGGCAGAAACTGGTCTCCACTCCCAAAACTTTACAGTTGGAGCACCACAATCCATGCTAGCAGCCCATGTGTGGAATGAACACCAGGACAATCTTTGTCAGCCCTCCCTGAAGCTCCCATTTCCCCCTGACACAGGTCACCTGTACCTTACATAGGTCACCTGTACCTGAGCTCCATCCCATCACTGACAGCTGCAGGAAGTCAGTGTCATTCTCCTGCTTGTTTGCATCAACCAGACCAGTGCCAGAGAGAGAGGGATCCATCCCACTGAACCCCAGACAGGCACAGGGGCGAGGCTACAACCCCCTTATCCATGGGAGGATCCTGCTACAGGCACCAGGGACACTCTGGTACTTCAGGTCCATTCCCCTGCTTCAGACAACAGGAGCAGAGTCCTGGAAGAGTTTAGGTTGGAAGGGACCTCAGGGATCATCCAGTCCCACCCCTTCCCTGGGCAGGGACACCTTCCACTGTCCCAGGCTGCTCCAAGTCCCCATGTCCAACCTGGCCTTGGGCACTGCCAGGGATCCAGGGGCAGCCACAGCTGCTCTGGGCACCCTGTGCCAGGGCCTGCCCACCCTCACAGGGAACAATTTCTAATTTCTTCCTAACATCCCATCTATCTACTGTCTGTCAGTTTGAACCCATTCCCCTTGTCCTGTCACTCCAGGTCCTTGTCCACAGTCTCTTCTCCATCTTCCTTTTCAGCCCCTTCAGGCTCTGGAAGGCCACATTTAGGTCACCCTGAAGATTCTCTTCTCCAGGCTGAACAACCCCAATTCTCTCAGCCTCTCCTCACAGCAGAGCTGCTCCATCCCTCTGATCATCCTGGTGCCTGCTCTGGACAAAGCCAAGCAGGCTGCAGGAGCCCCACTCCCCTGGACACGGGGTCCAGGCTGAGCCTGGCTCTGAGGAGATGAACCCCAAGAGCTGCAGTCACACAGCAGCAGCTGCACCCATCCAGCTCCTGCTGCTTCCAGCACTGCCCCTGCTAAATCTATTGTGGGTGAGCTCTCCTCTTTGAGCTCTACTGAATAAATCTGAGTCCAGGTCCCTCTCTCTCCCAGCTGCACCTTGCACAGCCCTGACCACAGCCAGGGCTCTGACCCCACTGTCCCACAGCTCTGCACAACAGGCACAGCCAGAGGAAAACAGGAACAATATTTATACCCTTCAATAAACCTACTCTGGGCTGATTGACTTACTGAGCACACAACCACTTCAGGATGTAATGGGACACTTGAGAGTCTCATTGTGAACTTTAGCATTAAGAGGATCATCAATTTAATAAGCCTCACAGGTCTTTTACATAAGAAAATAACTAGTTAGAAGAATAAATGTGCCATTCCAATAAGCTGCTTTTAGGCCAAGCTGGATGTGCTTGCTTAATTTTCTAAGCAACAGAATTTCTGTAGGAAGAAAAGTAATTTTTCTTCTCCATCAGCAGTAGGAGCTGGTGGGATATAAAAATGGATAAACAATCTGACAGAAGATGTGGGCTTCAAGCCAGTTTGCAGCAGTGGGCAGAGACCTCCCTAGATCTGACTCATAGCATAGGCATAGGCAAAACTCACATCTCCAGGAGCCTGAAATGCCAGCACCTCTCTTGGAAAAGCTGTATTATCCTCTCCTTCCCAGTAAAGTCCAAACTGAGCTGCATTTCTGCCTCTCCCATTTCCTGCATCCAGTTAACTGGATGGCAATGAGATGCAAGGCAGTAATTAACTCTGGAGGCTTTTCCAATTAGATATGAGCTCCATGGACTGCTGCAGAACAACAACCTCTCCAAGGCTCACAGTTGAGGCAAAAGCACAGAACTTGTGCTCAAATCCTTATTAAGAGGTACCAACACGAGAAAAAAACCTGGTGAAAAGACAGCAAAAAAGGAATTTACTGCAATCTTAGAAATTGTATTAATAACCACAACTGCTTAATAACCACAACTCCTTTCCATTCAAACCAAAGATACACAACTACATAAAACAGATTTTATACACTATTTTGCACCTGTTTTGATGCAAAACTTGGCATGTAGCATGCAGGTCACTCTCACCTCAAAACACAAACAAAACCCTCCAAATGAGATTTGTTTTCTTTTGTGCTTTGTGTCACAGTAATTTAATTTTAAAAATGATTTTGAAACACGTGGATTATTTACATCCGAAAATTAGCTACCTGGCATCATCAGTGGCTTCTCACTTCCCTATTCTCTATGCATCACTGTGCTGTGGAAACCTGGTAATTGCAGAGCAAATCTGTTTATGCAAATTGTTTAGTCCCATTTTCACAGCTGAATGTCACTGCTGTATCAATCTGCTCTGGTCCAAAACTTGGTAAACAAATTAGAGCTCTACCCAGAACTCAGAGAATTGATTTATCAGAAATCTCAGTCTCTTACCTGTGCTTTGGAGAGACACCACCAGCTTGCCCTGAACCAAGAAAATTCCCCTTCCAAAAGCTGCACTTTTATCAGTAGTAGAAGAGACAATATTGCAGAAAGTCAGTATTTTGTCACAGGGATTGCCAGGCAGGAAGATCTCACTAAACCCTTCCACTAAGGAAGAAGAAAGCCTGTCTGCCTGTCCAAGCCTCCTGTGGCTCCCAGGATCACAGAATTGTTAAGGGTGGGAAAGGCCTTTAAGATCAAGACCATCACTCACTCACCACTGAACTGTGTCCTGAGGTTCTACATCCACACTTTTTGTTTTTTGAACACTTCCAGGGACAGTGACTCCACCCCTGCCCTGGGCAGCTGTGTCAGGGCTGGACTGCCCTTTCCAGGAAGAAATTTTCCCCAATATCCAACCTGAGCCTCCTCAGGCACAACTTGAGGTCATTCCCTCTCCTCCTGTCCCTGTTCCCTGGAGCAGATCCCAAATCCCCCCGGCTGTCCCCTCCTGTAAGGGAGTTGTGCAGAGCCACCAGGGCCCCCCTGAGCCTCCTCTTCTCCAGGCTGAAACCCTTTCCAGCTCCCTCAGGGATTCTCCAGCCCCTTCCCCAGCTCCGTTCCTTTCTCTGGACATGTTCAAGTGTTGCTCCTAATCTCCCTGGGAATCCAAGAGCAGAATCTGAGAGCTCTCACAAATCAGGCTGTTTAGCTTTAAGCATTTGAAATTTCTAGTCTTTTTATTTATAGACATGATTTAGAAAACTTCAGCTTTGTGCTCTCTAGCACACAAAACCTTAGTCATAAATAATTTATATCTAACAATTTCACGGCATATTATGAAAGGATTTTCTCCCCAAAAAGTCTCCCTGCATTTACCAGAAAATATGTCAACCTGTCTCCCCCACATGCAGAGACGTAACACAATCTGAAAATACAAGTAAAGCTCAACACAACAGTGCAGTGAACACGATGTGATGAAGTTTCCACCTTGGTATCCTCGACAGGGGAGAATACTGAACCAGTGCAGAACCCACAGCTCTCCTCCTGCTGCTTCTGGAATCCCACCAGTAAACCCATGGCTGCTTTTCCACAGGACTACAGAAAGAGCCCTGAGAAAGCACCTCAGACACTCCTCAGCAGAAGGCTGAATCCAGGAGAGATTTCTGAAGGCAGGAATTTAATCCAAGGTTATCACAAAGCAAGAATAACTATTAGACAGGCACTAATATTTATTCATTTTCCACTGTCAGTCTCTCACCAAAACCACTTTGGAGGGACCAGATTGCTCTGGATTCTGTCAGCACATGGCCTTGTTTCTAAAAACAGCAGAGCTGATTCCAAATGCTGCTTGGTTTCCATGACAGTCTTTCCTTTACATCATCTTCATTTCCCCTCAATTTTCTAGGAGGGAAAAAATACAAAGAGAGGAAAAAAACCTAAACCCCTTTAGAGCTCTCAAAAACCCTAAAGTTTTGCTTCATTGGAGAACAGCAGGGAACAG